GTACCCCCGCAAAATTCGCTGTGTAGCGACTCAGTAATTCATTTTTCAGCATGTGCGTCGATACTCAGCGCGCTTAACTACAGTATTCGCGTTAGAGAGCATTTACTTTAGAAAATTCACCGTCCTGAGACCCCGCAAATTCCGGGGAAAAAATACTCCGGGGAAAAGTGGGCGGAGCCTAAAATGAAACCCTGGCACGGTTTTTCTGCACATTTGGACACGGTCATGAGGGGCGGAGCCTAAATTGCAACACTGGCACGGTTTTTCTCGACTCCGCCCACTTTTCCCCGGAATTTGCGGGGTCTCCACCGTCCTAAAAAACTCACCGTGTCTTACAAGTTAATTCAATTGATTGAAATTCAAAGAAAATATCGCAAAATGGATGAAATGGATGATTTTTTCGGTAATGACGAACTTGACAGAGAACCAAGTCCGTTCGGAGAAGAAGCTATTGAAGGTTAGATTTTCTGAATGAGACATAAAATTTCAATGGGGTTTTCAGATAATACCGGCGAGGAGGGAAGCAGACGGATTATTGAACCAAAGCTGCTGAGAACCAAGAAACTAACAGTCAGTCCAATCAGGATTGTATTTGTATCTATTCTAATTTTTAGAACCCTCGCCTTGCGCTGAATGAGAAAACATTGACTGGACCAAAGGGAATTACTGCTCTACGAGAAGCATTTCAAAATTTCAATCCGAATCCAAAAGATGACCCTGTTAGTTTTAAAATCATAACTCGCTTTTCAATATTTTCAAAGTTCAGTATAAAAATCTCGAAAAGATGATGAAGAAATATGCCTACTGGGGTCATTTGATGTTTCCAAAAATGAAAACCGAAGATGTATTGAACAGAGTTGAAACACTAGGAACTCGAAGACAAGTCAAACTATACATCATGAAACAACGACTTGGAGAATCCACAGATGACGTTGAAAACGAGAAGAGGGAGACGAAGAGCAAGAATGGAATTATTGATGATGGTGCTGATGATGATGAAGATGATTTGTTCAACGATCTACCTGAAAAGGGTATCTAAAGACATTATAATACTACTATTGTTCACAGTTTTTTTTTCAGAAACGCCCACTAAACCTATCAATCATACTGAAAAAGTTGTCGATTCGCCCGAAAAGAAGAACGGACAAGTTAGTAACAACGACGCAGAGGAAGAAGAATATCGTATGATGGAAGAAGAAAGGCTTCGGGAAGAGCAAGAAGCTAGAGAAGCTGAAGCTGAAGACGAGCTAATGGAAGATTTCGATTTGAACAACGACTGGTGATGAACCATATTTCTACGTGTATTTCAGTTATTCTCATTTTTTGAACTTTGCTCCAAATTATCAGATATCCACCTTTGACTAATGAACTACTTTTACCAGATTATTTTCTTGTGTTATTACATCATGCCACCTCCCACAATTTCCCCCTCTACCGAAAAACTGATACCTGTGTTAGCATACAAAGTTTGAGAAAATTATGTTTCAATGGTTTTTAGAGTTGGATTAAGCATCTCCGGCACATTCCCTGCTAACCCAATAGCAACAACAGCTCATTCAGTAGTCTTCAAAGTTCACTCGAAACTTTATCGTCGAGATGTAGTTGTCAAGATTGTAAATCGAAATGCTATTCCGCCGAGCATAGCTGAAAAATTTCTGCCAAGGGAACTAGATATCACAATGAAAGTGCGTCATCCACACATTGCTAGATGCTTGGCTATCACCAGACCTGCGCCAACGAAAATTGTTATAATCTCTGATTACTATGAGAGGAGCACACTTCTCGATTTGATTCTAACCCATAAACGTCTGAAGGGTATATTTTAAGGCTTTAAATTTATTACTAGATATGCTGAAATCTCAGAGAATCCTCTCTCAGTAACACTTTTCCGTCAACTCATTGAAGCTATAAATTACCTACACAAAAGAGGAATTGCACACAGAGATGTGAAACTTGAGAATATTATGATAGATGGGAACGGAGACATCAAACTGATTGATTTTGGGTTTGCCAGACATATTGAAAGAAGAGAACGGTAGAAATTATCAAAGTCTTGTTGATATCTTTTGTTTGTAGGTCTCGCTCATTTTGTGGAACACAACCTTACACTTGTCCACAAATCACACGGTTTCGGCCTTATGAACCATTCACTGCCGATTACTATGCCTGTGGAATAGTGCTTTTTACTATGGTTGTGGGAAAGTGGCCGGTAAATGAATACAGTTATCTAGTTTTAAAAGATTGTTTCATAGAATTTGGCAATGAGTTCTATGAACATCTTTCCGGATAAACTTCCATCTCGTTCCTGTCGAAGACTGATCACTTCGCTTCTCGATGAGAATGAATCGTGCAGAGCTGGATACGATGAATGTGTGAATTCTGAATGGATGGGTGGACATCCGGTTTGGATGTTTGCAAACCACGCTTATTTTTATGAAGAAGTCAGACATTTTCCATTTTTATTTATTCTCCAAATGTTCAATTTCAGGTGTCGAATCGCGATGAAGATCCGTCTAACTTCGAGATGTCTGAAATCTGAAGTTCGAAAGAAACGTCAGCCATCGATATTCTGGATGTGTCATAATTTGAAGTTTCCGCTCAGAATGAATAATATTGATCTTCAGTAACTAGTAACCGATGAATAAATAAACGCATGTTTTATTATTTCCTTGCCAGGTATGAAACGGGTGCTATTACAGGATCCAAAATGAAGAGAATTACTGTAGGTTTTAATAATTGAAAATGAAAAGGATTACTGTAGGTAGATGAAAAAATGGAAACGAACAGGATTACTACAGTCTATGTAGGATTACTATGTATAGACTAGCCTATAGGGAAAATATTCGAAAATGAAGAGAATTACTGTAGAGAAAAATAACCAAAAATGAAAAATATTACTGTAGTGAAAAAAAAATTAAAAAGAAAAAGTTTAATGCAAGGGCAAAAAAACTCGAAAATGAAGAGGACTACTGTCTATTCAATAAAACG